GAAGATCTCGATGAACAATATTTTGAGAATGGATTGCTTTAAGATCATAAGCTATATTAAGTAATAAATTTAATTTTGACTTCCAATTTAATTGTTTTATACGATGAATATTTTCTCGTAAAGAACCTATTGCAGCATATTGCAAGACAAGAATATAGTTTCCTTTTTCATTTCTTGATATTCCATAACACTTCATGAATGACGGATTTTTATATCCAGTTTCACAATATTTCTGTAACTTTTTAAAAAAAAAAATGTTAATGAAGTATAAATAAATCAAATATAATTTTAAAGTAAAAATAAAATAAAATAAATTAAGTTTTTAGTTATAATACCTCATTTAAATAACTATAATCATTTATTTCTTTAAGTGCTAACGTCACTGAAGATGAATTGTAACTAGGAGCACTTTGTATTGACTTAGCAAATGAAGTTGTTGTTGTCCTCCACGATGCACTATATACAGTTGCAATGCCACCACTTCCTATTTTTTTAATATTTTTAAATTTATTATATGAAATCCATGTTAATTGATAGTTGCTGTCGTTTAATAATATTTTTATACTATTATCAATATCAAAATCTTGATATTCTTCTTTAATTATTTTACAAAATTCTGTTTTTTCCATGTGAAACCAACGATTAGCATTTTCAATATCCATTTGAACCAAAATCCCATTTCTATAATAATAACCAAGTCTTTTCATTCCATGAATATTTCCAAATTCTGCGGATTTTTGATAATATTCAAATGCTTTTTGTTCATTATTGATTCTATTTTCATTATCTACCAATTCAAAAAATTCATAAAAACGTCCAATCCAATACATTGCATGATTATTTCCCATGTTTGCAGATTTTTGAAAATATTCCAACGCTTTTTGATTATCTTTTTTATTTCTATTTCCTTCCAAATAACATATTCCAACATAAAGTGCACCATAAGCATTACCTCCATCAGCAGCTTTTTGAAAATATTCGAATGCTTTTTGTTTATCTTTTTCGACTCCATTTCCATATTTATAACAATGACCAACATGATACATTCCAAAAGCACAATCCATTTCTGCAGCTTTTTCGTAAGATTTAAAAGCTTTTTGTTGATTTTCTTCAACTCCAATTCCATACATATAACAGAATCCAACCATAATCATTCCAACAGGATTATCTTTATCAGCTGATCTTTGATAATATTCAAATGCTTTTTGTTCATCTTTCTTAGTTTCAATTCCTTCTAGATAACGATGCCCAGTAATATTTATTCTATTACCAACAATATTTATTTTATTACCAACTAATCTATCAATATTATCCATGTCAGCCGATTTTTGATAATTTTCGAATGCTTTTCGCTCATCCTTTTCAACTCCAACTCCCTTCATATAATGATAACCAACATAATTTATTCCATGAATACTACCCATATTAGCAGATTTTTGATGATATTCGAATGCTTTTAGATCATCTTTCTCTGTTCCAATTCCTTCTAGATAACAATGCGCAACACTATTTATTCCATCAATATTATTCCTATCAGCAGATTTTTGATAAAATTTGAATGCTTCTTCAACATTTTTTTCTATACCAAGAGCATTTTCATAACAATAACCAACCATGTACATTCCTGTAGCACGACTCATATTTGCAGCTTTTTGAAAGTATTCAAATGCCAATTTATCATTTTTTTCGACACCAATTCCATCATAATAACCAAGTGCGACATTCATCATTCCCATAGTATCACCCATTTCAGCAGATTTTTGAAAATATTCAAAAGCAAGGTTATAATTTTCTTTTTCAAAGTGTAATATACCAATATGTGTTAATATATTAGAATCCTCATAAGAATAACTATTTCTAATAATTTTCTTCACATTCTTTATATAACATCGACCAAGATTAAAATCACCTTTAATATCATTTAAAGCAGTATTTTGAAAATAAGAAAACGCATGATTTTCTTCTTTAGCAACACCTATTCCATGTCTATAACAGTATCCAACCATATACATTCCTTCAGAAAATCCCATAGTTGCGGCTTTTTTATAATATTCGAATGCTTTATCCCAATCTTTTTCAGTTCCATAGCCAAAATGATAACAATATCCGACTTGAAATATTCCTTTAACGTGTTTGTCATTAGCGGCTTTTTCAAAATATTTGAAGGCTTCATTTTCATTCCTTTCAACTCCAATACCATGAAGATAATCATATCCAGTATTATAATCTTTTGATGAGATTAGTCGAGAAAATTCCATTTGATTAAAAATATTTTGATTAAAAAAAGTAAAACGTAAAAGTTTGATTTTCGATACGTGTGTTTTTGTATAAATAATATATATATATATATATATATATATAATAATTTAAGAATAAAACTAATTTTAACTAGCAATTATTTAGAGTATTAGTTTAGAGTTAGAGTATATATGTATGTAAAATTATATGCCGAGACATTTACTCAAGGGTTCAGACATATTATATAATAAATTTGAGATATTTAAAAATTTAAAACGTAATTTTTTTTAATGTTTGTTTATGTTATACAAATTTTTAACACCATTAAAATATTATATATTGTTTGTTCTGTATTTGTTTAATATTTGGTTTGTTAATTTATGCTTCCTGTATCTCATTAACTACTTCGGTGGCACCGACAAATTTTCACTGATCGACATCGAATTGACCAATTAGATTACAAGATTAGGTGCAACGTGAAAATCATGCGTTTTTTAAAAAACCGCCTGTACCTCAAAATTTCATATATGTAAACTTCTTCTGCGCACTAGTAAAAAAAAAATTCCTTGCAAGATATCAGTATAAGTCAAACCTTGCTATAATTGCAAACCTCCCTAATATTGTGTTTTATGAATTTAAAAAATTGCGCATATTCGTTTGTGTCACATCGTGAGCTTCCACATTGCC